CTAGCTGGAATTTAACAAAAAGACTAATAAGCTATAAAGGCTAATCTACTCTATAGCAGGAAAGCAGCTATAAGAGTTATTTTTAGCCTCTAAGGTTATTTTAAGCTACTATCTATGCTTAATCTAGCAGCTCTACTATAGAATTTACCTATAAATAACCCTCCTTCCCTCTAACTAGATAGAGAGGAAATAAAGCCTCTACAACTACACTCTTTAATATATACTATTATATATAATTTTATACTACATCTAAAGTTACTTCTATTATACCTTAAGAATCCCTATTATCTTATGCTTAGTAATTAACTAGATTATATAAGCTCTATCTATTATATTTATTATATTATAAAGAGTCCCTTAATCCGCTAACAGTTATAAGCCTAGTTGCCGCAGGCTCTGTGCTGCTGCTATAGTTGCATATTTAAACTTTATTACAATATAATAATATTTTATAAGAGTCCTAGTATAATAATAACTATAACTATAACTATTACTCTTAACTATTATAAGTAATAATAAATATTTCTACTTAATAATAGTTCAGCAAAGCTCTAGCGCACTTATACAGCTTACAGCGCTAAGAGGGCTAAAAGCTGGGGGGGTGTGTCAGCCAGAAAATAGGGGTGCATGCGCTGTGTGTAATTGCGCAGTAATATATAAGGTTAATTTGCGTCTCTAATTGCTGGAGCGCGTTCTACTTTTGCGTAGTGCAGTTGACCTTGCGATTTTCCGCTAACAGTAGTAATATAAATAAACTTACTAAAAGAAAAGTATATAATAAACTTAAGCTATAAGCTTAAGTAAGTATAAAGCACTATATTAGTACTTTATTAAATATACTTTAAATATATATTAAACTTATATATATATAATAAGCAGAAAAGAAGAAATAGAGAGCTTTCTCTTTTCCTCTTTTCTCTCCTTAAGTTTATACAGTAAACTAGGTCTATAACGATAACCTTCGTGAGGCTTTTTTCATTGTAGTATAGCAACTATCGTTAAGATGCAACTATTATAGGGTTGTACCTCCCCTTAGAAATTACTAGTAGAAAGTATATATTAAGAGATTATTAGCGAAATTTGCCCCACTAAAAGAAAATTCAGCTCTACTATAAAGAATTTAGCCCTTAAAGTAGAGCTGTATAACAATAAAATATATAGTAACTAAGCAAAAAGTTAACAATATTGTTAGTAATGCAACTACTAACAATTTACTAGGGAAAAACCTTAGATAACTGTGAATTATCGTAAAAACCCGAATATCGCTAAGATACAGGATCGTTATAGACATAGTTTACTGTAGTTAATACTAGTAACGCTTACACACAGTCGCCTGTAAGGCCAGTCCTTGACAGATTGCCGAGAACAGCCCGGACTCGAAGAGATCGGGTGGTAGTATAGAGCAAAACGGCGAGAATGCGCTCTCGCTCGGGACTCAGCATCGTTATTAGCCCGTGCCCAACGCCAAAACTCAACTGTACATGCATTAAGACGCTATTTGTGCTGAGGTTGCTCTGCCTTGACGAAGAAGTCAAAGAGGCGGTGAAAAATAGCGGAATACCAAGCATCGCTGCGAATAACGCTGTCATAAAGGGAGCTTGGAACTGAGGGCGGCTTGTTATTTGTTATGCACGCAATTTGGTATGTAGTTTCTAGGAATTTCTTACGGTCTTCCGCTTTCTGTGGCGAGCGTACATCGTCAAGCCGTTCTATGTACAGCTGCAGCTGTGACGCGGTGAAGCAACGTACGTCCTGGGGCACAGGCTGCTGGTCCGATGTTTCCTCGACGGACGATGACATGGCTGATGCGATGGCCTCGGCAGACTTGAAGACATCTCCTTCAGCGGAGTCCTCTGTAATCGTGCACGCATTACGATTTTCCTCGGTCATGTCTTCCTCATCGTAGTCCAAGCTGGCGAAGGCAATAACATCGCCCTCCTGAGGAGGTCTGTCACAGGCGCCTGCACCATGGTCCGGGTTGCTCTCAAGGATATTCTCGATTAGGGGAGAGCCATTGGCTTCGTGGGGCTGATTCATGGCGTTGAAATCGCGAGAGAAGTCATGCAGAGCCTGATTTTCGAGCAAATCGGAAGAGGCCTGTGATGTCGGGGCACAGGAATTGAAAGAGTCGGCCGATTCACTAAATGGAGCAGGCTTGGGGGGGGTTCGACGGACGCTTGTTGCGACCGACTGTGTAGTCGGACCATCTCGATCCCCAGAGACGATGACTACTCCGAAAGACAAAATATCAGACATGTTACGGGGTTATAGGGGCAAAGCGACTGTTTATTACGTCTTGTATATTCCTAAATGTGCTTAATCTAGGACGTTCACATTATTCCGACCTTTAAATGAGGGTCAAGTTCAACCGAAACCAACTATTCTTCATACCAGCAGCACCCTGCGAACGTTAGCTTCATACATCATCTTTATACGGGCACATGACTTACGCATTAACGCAACCGTCATTCTCGGGGTCATCTATAACGGTTCAAATTAGCCAGAAAACTGGAGATTGCGGAACGCGGCAAAAAGCGGGATGCATAGTAACTACTCACTCGTGATTTGCGCATACCGACCCCAAACAACCTTGCCGGATGCGGTCGTCAAACCCAGTTCGCTCGTGTTGACCTCAATAACACACCCTTTTGTCAGGACACCGAGCCGGGTGTACAGCGGGTTCGACGGGTTCTTCTTGACGCTCAGAATTGGGGCCTTGATGGTGACGGCCAGCTCCGGATGGCTGACGTGGGCTGTCTTTTGTCTCAACCCGGACGGCCTGATGAACCTCTCCATTTTCGGGTTCTGCCTTGTGAAGCCCTCACCGACAAACGTAGGCTTCGTAATCATCCTCTTCCACGACTTCTTTTTTCGTCTTCTTTCCTGTCGTAACCATGCGGAACATTTCCTCCTCCGAGATGCCACGCACCTTGGGCAAAGGAACCGAATATCGTGCCGCCTTCTCGGCTCTGCGCTGCTTGATGGAGCTGGACAAAGCTTTGGCGGAACGAGGGTCGTTCTGGCGGTCTACAAGATAGTTGGGTACGGGCTCTGAGGGTAGTGATGATGGGCCGTCCGATTTGACATTGCGCTCCTCGTGCACCTTGATCTTCTTCCGCATCTGGATCTTCTCGACTCGCCTCGCCTCCTGCATCATCTTGGCCCTGTGGCCTCGCAAGTTCTGGGCATCGTATGACCGTTTGTGACTCTCACGTGCGAGACGCTTGCGAACCCTCTCCTGGGTGTCGAGGCTATTGGTCTTGTCAGTTTGGATTGTGCCAAGGCGGAAAGCGGCAAAACTGGATGATATCAACATACCGCTGGCCATGTAGCTTGCGCCACCTCTCCATATACTCATTTTGAGGCATGTTTCCTTGTTGAACAAACACGCTCTCGTGTCGGTCGCTATGGTGGTGCCGAAGGAGTATCGATCATGCTTGGGTTTGCACACGAAGTCGGGTGCTTGTTAATCCGGCCTCCGCATTCCTTCAGCCAACCAGGAGCTCGAACTTAATTGGCAATAGAACTTGTTCTCATCTATTTTTTAAGCCCGTACTCCGTACAAGCGCGACAACCACACTCCAAGTTAGCCAGGGAGTATCATTTCGGGTCAAGGTCCATATTAGCATTTGGTACTTTGCCATTTTCGGAAGTCACACGCGATATCATCATGATGGGCGACATTGCCAATCAACACCATGCAATCCCCATCATTGATTTTGGCCCTCTTCTTCAAGATGACTGCCCCTCTGAAAGATTTGCCGCAATCGGGAAAGAAATCTTCGAAGCGTTGAGGGATTTTGGCTTCGCCTACATAAAAAACCACTCAGTGCCACAGAACGTGGTAGACAAGGCATTCCAATGGGTATCCAAGTTGTTCCCTCGAGCGTAGCTTAGACACGAGTCTAACCAGAAGCCAGAGCCAACGCTTCTTCGCCTTGCCACAAAGCGAAAAGGACAAGGTTCCCCACCCCCCAGAAGGATGGTACCACCGAGGCTATTCAGGTATCGGCCGCGAAAAAGTCTCTCAGATGGTCTTTGACGAGGAGGGCATCGCCAACCAACGTAAAAGGCCAGACTTCAAGGAATCCTACGAAATGGGTGCAGAGGGAGTGCTGCGAAACATTTGGCCCGCCGATGACGTGATCCCCGGGTTCCGCGAGTTCTTCACCCAGTTTTACGAGATGTGCTACGGCATGGAAGTGAAGCTGCTCCGTGCTATTGCCGCTGGCATGGGCCTGGAGCAAGATTTCTTTACCAATTACCACCAAACAAAACAAAACCAGATCCGCCTGTTGCACTACCCGCCTGCCGAAGAAGAGCTCCTCGCGACCGGCAAACTAGAAAGTATCAGTGCCCATACCGACTTCGGTACGCTAACCATGCTCTTCCAGGACCAAGTCGGCGGACTCGAGGTCGAAGATATCCATGAAAAGGGCAAATTCAACCCAGCGCCCTATATCCCAGGAACAATGGTTGTTAATATCGGTGATCTACTTATGAGATGGAGCAACGACGTGTTGCGGTCTACGCTGCATCATGTTCGCACGCCTCCTGCTGATGAGCCGTTGAAAGAGGGCGAACCGCGGATGACCCGTGAGAGATACTCGATTCCATACTTTGTAGCCCCGGACATTGACTCTACAATTGACTGTATACCAGGCTGCTGGGGGCCGGAACGACCAAAGAAGTATGAGCCTGTTAATAGCAGCGAGTACCTGGACATGCGGCTGAATGCCACCTATTGAGCGGCATCAAGAGAACGAGCAAAGGTCCAGTGTGACATGAATAAATGAATCGTTTACAAAGGGAGTACTCGTACACGTCTTTCTCGAGATGGTGCTGGCCAACGTAAAGCGGCATGCCACTCTAGCGCAATCCATCGTACGATCCAGATATGACGCGGAGAGGAACTTGTATCTAGTCCAAAAGACGGGCGACGTCAATTTCCTAGCGATGAGCCATTGATGAAAGAGAAATGACGACTGGGTTTCGCGTCAAGTCATTGGGGCTGATAGCATCCCACCTTGTATTCTTATCTACTTGGCATGCTCACATGGTTTTCCTAGAGCAAAAAGAGACAAAAAAACATACAACACTAGGTATTCGCTAGTCGTCACCGAGCCAGCTACTAATCTAGCGCTCGCCAGATTCTCCTAGGAGATCGGACGGGATCCTGAATTTTACTGGCGGCTGTGGTCGTATGTGATTGTTACAGGGCTTATCCTACGTTATCTTGTTACATTGAACGGGATCCAATTTAGCAAAAAAAGAGACATACAACACTGGGTATTCGCTGGTCGTCACCGACCCAACTACTAATCCAGCGCTCACTAGGTTATCGTACGAGATCAGACGGGATCGTGAGGTCTACTAGTGGCTATGGTCGTATGTGTTCAAGAGTGAGGCGTTTTTCATTTATAAAGTCCACTTGAGGGCGGATGCTATTAGAGAGTTAGGTCTAGGTTTAACGGGGCTGTGTACTCCCAGAGCCGTTTATAAATCCCCGTTAAGGAGGGTTAGGCACTTATACTAATAGTGCCCTTTAGAGGTACCAGGACGCGAGGAGACTTAGGGCATCTCGCACAGTTGTGGCTTCTAACCTCGTCACAAGACTCGACTCCATGCCGTCAAGGACTACTTGCATCACACCACCGCCCATCACATCTTGCCAAATGCCGGGGATCTAACGTTACTTGTCGACCTGGCTTCTGAGAACTGGATCGGTGCCGTGAAGCTCGAGTACATGGCAGTTCCAAAACGATCCCTGGCGGGCACGATGCCCTTTAACCCCCAGCAGGGGATGGGCAACAACGAGAACCTCCTCTTCCGAGCGCTGGCTGCCTTGCCTCTGCTTTTCCTCATTGCCTTGCGCTACTGTCGCCCCCTCTCCGCACCCAAAGCACTCTTGCCATGGCAGATGTTGCTCAGCGAGTCGTTTGATGTGCCATTTTTGAACCTCAAGGTTGCGGATTTTGGCACAATATATGCCGTGATATTGATCGAGTCCGCTCGACGTGCCAACCTCATGACGCCTCCCGCATTGTAAGTGAACCCCGCCGTACCCGTTTTTTTTTTTTTTTTTTTTTTGAAATGCTGACGTGTTTTTCCATCTTTATAGGCCATCATGGTTTGGACTGGGCTGCCAGCTTGCTCCCGCGGAGATGTTCTTGTCCCTGTACTTTTTCACGTATGCCGCGCTTGTGCCCATATCCCGGTTCAAAGCAGGGGATCTCCGACTTACGGATTTGAGCTACACTAGTCAGTTACGAGGTTTGGCGCAGACATCTTTGCGTCCACGGGGTTGGCGGCGATGGCGGCGTTTTTCACAAGCACCAGGTCCTCCTCCAGAGCAGGAACGTTTGCATTCTCCACGAATGCGAGGCCGCCTCCTTCGACTCCTACAATGGCCTTTTGTGACTGGGGGTATGGAATAGTCATCCTGAGACTCTGGTTGTCTTGACTCTAGCTTTTTTTGTTTTCTTGTCAGCACGTTTGGTTGTTACCCAACCGGGGGGGAGAATTTCTTCGAACCAAACAAGTCCATACCAAAAGAATCAATAAGAAATCATTCATAAATTAGCCTCATTGCCAAGCACGAGGCAGGGGTTAGTTGGTCAGCGCCGCAAAACCCGCCGGCCGATGAGGCTTCCGGACCGTGTCAGAATGTTACCGGCGGTTGTTGATTGCACGGCGAGATTTGACATCAGGGACATGACAGGCCATGGTATGTAGAGAAAAGTAAGGAATTGACCATGTGGTCCCAAAGAGGAGTAGAATTTAACGTTGCTGCTAATACGATCCTAGGGAATTGCATTATCCACTCGTACTTGAAGAGGCAACATGATATCGTCTTGTGAGAGAGCATGACCACACATACATACCAGACGGATTTTAGACAAGACCAAGCCCCAAAACCTTGTATTCTACCATCTCTATCAGGCAGTATATTTTTAGTTTCTCCTTTGGACTGGCGGTATTCTTTTCCAGACCAGGTTCGACCTCAAACAGCCGTTCACAACTCTCCCCAGTATGGAGGCTGGATTTGTGCGAGAGCAGCCGGAACCGATCGCCATTGTCGGCATTGGATGTCGGTTTCCTGGCGGAGCAAGTACTCCATCTAAGCTGTGGGATGTCTTGAAGGAGGCCCCAAACACCGCAAAGGTGATCCCCCCCCAGAACGCTTCAACCTCGACAGATTCTACCACCCGGTGGGCACCCATCACGGTACAAGTAACGTCAAGGAGACCTGCTTCCTGGACGAAGCTGGACGAAGACGTCAGACGATTCGATGCAGGCTTCTTCAATATCCCCCCTCCTGGTACGGCCAACCCTCCTTCCACTCTCGCAACCGAGCGCAAACGTGGCTAATCATGTCTTGTATTCAGAGGCTGGCGCCATGGACCCTCAGCATCGTCTTCTAATGGAGACGGTCTACGAAGCAATGGAGGTCTCTGGCACGACCATTGAGCAACTTCATTGGTCGAATACGTCTGCGTTTGTCGGAGTCATGTGCAGCGACTACTATATCCTTTCTGCACAAGACTTGGATAGCGTCTCGACGTACAACTCGACGGGCATCGCAAACAGCAGCGCCTCTGCTCGTCTTTCCTACTTCTTTGACCGGCACGGTCGGTCCGTGCATGACAATCGACACGGCATGCTCTTCCAGCTTGGTGGCTGTCCACCAGGCCGTTCAAGCTCTCCGGGCTGGCACCTCCCTTGTAGCTGTGGCCGCAGGCACCAATCTCCTGCTGTGTCCCCTGGGGTACATGTCTGAGAGTCTTCTGGGCATGCTTTCGCCCAGTGGACGATGCCAAATGTGGGATGAGAAGGCGGATGGCTACGCCCGAGGAGAGGGTGTTGCCTGTGTGCTACTGAAGAAATTGAGCGATGCCATTGCGGACGGTGACCATGTTGACTGCGTTATTCGTGAAACAGGAGTCAATCAGGACGGCAAGACTAAAGGCATTGCTGTGCCGAGCGCCGTCTCTCAAGCCTCCCCGATCCAGAGAACCTACCACCAAGCTGGGCTGGACCCGAGGAGCAAAAAGGATCGTTGTCAGTACTTTGAAGCACATGGAACTGGTACTCCTGCAGGTGATCCGCAAGAAGCCGAAGCTTTGGGTAAGTGAATGATGGCCTTGTCTAGGACCTCGGCTGGTCATGACAAATACTAAAAGTTTCATGGCCAGATACGGCCTTCTTCCAGAATTCAGAAAGAGATGCCAATGACATTCTTTACGTCGGATTCGTAAAGACCGTAGTTGGCCACACCGGAGGCACCGCTGGTCTGGCGGGCATCATAAAAGCCTGTCTCTCCATCAAGCATGGCATTATTTCTCCCAACCTGCATCTAGACAACCTGAGCCCGTCAGTAAAGCCTTTCTGCAAGAATCTCGAGGTAGTGACATCTATTATGCCGTGGCCAGAGTTGCCTGCTGGTCAAGTTCGACGAGCCAGCGTGAATAGCTTTGGATTTGGAGCAACCAACGCCCACGCCATCCTGGAGAGTCCCTGGTATTCAGGAGACTTGCAAGCTCAGGTTCAGGACCGCACGCCTGGATCGGTAGACAAAGAAGCTCTTCATCTTCCATTTCTCTTCTCGGCAACATCAGAAAATCCTCTTGTAGCCTTGGTGGATTCCTACTCCAAGTATCTTGAGAACAAGCCCGATGTTGACCTTTGTAGACTCGCCTACACGCTAGGGTGCCGGAGATCAGCCTTTGCCTTCAAGACAAGCTTCTCGGCCGCATCACAAGAGGAACTGTGTAGCAAATTAAGCGAGAGCGCCAGTGATCAAGGGAACCTGTCCTTTGTGCGTTCCACGACAACAAATCCCTCTCTCCTCGGAGTCTTCACTGGCCAAGGTGCGCAGTGGCCGAAGATGGGTGCTTCACTCCTCCAGTCATCAAATCGCGCCATGGATATCATCAACGAGCTGGATGCCTCATTGGCAGCGCTGCCGGCCTCTGAACGCCCGTCGTCGACGCTCCGTGACGAGCTCCTGGCCGATGCGTCGACTTCCCGTGTAGGTGAGGCCACCATTGCACAACCTCTAGTATGTGCTGTTCAGATCCTGCTGGTAACGTCATTGCGGGACGCTGGGGTTCAGTTCAAGTCGGTTGTTGGGCATAGTTTTGGGGAGATTGGAGCTGTCTTTGCCGCCGGTTTCATCAACCATAATGATGCCATCCGCATTGCGTATTATAGAGGTTTGCATTCGAAGCTGGCCCAGAGTGCGAGTGGTGAGACGGGCGGAATGCTAGTTGCAGGACTGTCATACGAGGAGGCCATAGAGCTGTGTGATCACGAGGACTTCACCGGCCGTATCACCGCGGCTGCGTCCAACTCCCCGACCAGTGTTACTTTTCTGGTGACTTGGACGCTCTTGAACAGCTACAGTTGGTGCTTGAGGATGAGGAAACCTTTGTCCGGGCTCTGCGCGTCGACAAGGCCTATCACTCTCATCATATGAAGCCAGCCTCTGGACCGTTCCTAGAGAGTGTCAGGAACTGTGCTATCAATATCAGGACGCCTCCAAACGACGCGCCAACCTGGTTCCCCAATGTGTACGGGGGCCAAGTCATGGAGGCAAGTGATATTATCAAGGGGTCGTACTGGATAGAAAACTTGTTGAATCCCGTGCTGTTCTCCCAGGCTCTCGAGACGGCTCTGTTGTCGGGCGATGCTTTCGACGCCGCTGTGGAAATTGGCCCTCATCCCGCGCTCAAAGGACCGGCAACAGAGGTGATGAAGGCCGTGACTGGCAAAATCATCCCTTACAGCGGAACTCTAGCCCGCGGCAAGCACGAGGTCGAGTCCTTCAGCGACGCCTTGGGGCATATTTGGACCAACGCAGGTCCTTGTTCTATCCATCTTGACAGTTATGGACAAGCCATGTATCAAGACTGGAAGACAATCAAGATATTGCGGCATCTTCCAGCCTATCCGTGGAACCGCGATCGGATCCTATGGACCGAGTCTAGGGGAACCAAGCTTTGGCGCCAGCAGGAAGGAAAGTTCCACGACATGCTCGGCACTCGCTGCGCCGATGGAACAGAGGAAGAATGGCGCTGGAAGAATCTGCTGCATCCCAAGGAGCTGCCGTGGGTGTTGGACCACGCTCTGCAGGGCCAGACCGTCTTCCCCGGAACAGGATACCTCTGCCTCGCCTTGGAGGCGGCCATGCAAATCGCCGGTAACAATTCTGTCCAGCTCCTCGAGCTGACGGGGGATGTTGAAGTGTTCCAAGGCGAGACTGGGTACAAGTCCATCCCTGTGGAAGGCGTTGCTTTTATCCCCTTTACTGCAGCCACTGCCTCCAACGACCGTGGTCTCTTTGCGCACAATGTATACGGCATCGAGTCTCCCAATGGGCAAGCTGCCCTGGGGTTGGAGCCGGAACCGGCGGCGCGTCGAGGCACATCTTCGCCGAGCTGGGCACTGCCTACTCTACTCGTCTTACACATACACCGACATCTCGAGCGGCTTCTTCAGCAAGGCTCAGGAGGACTTTGCTGCCTACAAGGACCGGATGATCTACAAGACGCTGGACATCACCGTCGACCCTACCGAGCAAGGATTTGAACAAGGGGCCTACGACCTTGTAGTGGCCGCCAACGTGCTCCATGCCACGCCCGACCTGGTTGCCACGCTGTCCAACGCGCGAAAGCTGCTACATCCAGGCGGCTTCTTGGTCATGATGGAATTCACCGACGAGAGCGTTTTGCGCCTCGGTGTCATCATTGGGGGTCTTCCAGGACGGTGGATTGGAGCAGACACCGGCCGCAAACACTCGCCCTGTGTTTCGCTTCCCGAATGGAACGACATCCTGCTCAGTTCTGGCTTCGCCGGTGTCGAGACGTCGACACCCGTCTTGGATCCAGTTGTTATGCCAGCCTCCATCATCGTCGGCCAAGCCGTCAACAGTGACCTCTTGCTGCCAAGGGAGCCTACTGCCGTCTCTCGCGAACCCGGCATGGCAAAAAACGCAGAACTCCTCATCGTTGGGGGCGCTGGAGTGGCTTCGGCCAAGGTCGTCGAGGACGTTGTGGCTACTGTCCGGCCGCATTACAAACTATTGTCCATGCTCGGAGCTGGGACGAACCCGAGTGCGGACCATGGTTTGAAGAATCCCACCGTGCTCAGCTTGCAGGATCTTGATGGTACTTTCTGGAGGGACATGACGGTCCGACGATTCGAAAGGCTCAAGTCTGTCTTTTTGACGGCGGCAAACATGCTCTGGGTGACTTGGGGCACAGATTGCGGCAATGGTGACGGCGCGCCATGACGGTCGGCTTCTCCCGATCTCTGGCGTACGAGCTGCCGCAGGCTATTCTGCAGGTCATGGACTTGGAAGACGCATCCAAAGCTGACGGATCTGTCATTGCCCAAAGGCTTCTGCGGGTGGACATGTCGTCGTATATGAACAAGACGGGCTCCCTTGGCCGCACCATGTTCAGCAATGAGCCAGAACTCAGATTTCGAGACGGATACGTCTTGATCCCACGGTGTCTTTCTCATGTGGACCAGAATCACCGCTACGACTCCCTCAAGCGCGTCATTGACAAGGAGACTTGCCTCGACGAATCCATCGCCACGCTCAACTGGTCACGGTCCGCGTACACCCTGAGGGAGGACGAGTGCGCAGTTTTGCCTTGTTTAGCAGACCACCGGCGGGTTCGTGTCGATTCGTCGCTTGCTTCGTCCATTGTCACTCCTGCCGGTCGCTTATTCTTCAGCCTGGGCACTGACATGGACACGGGCCGGCGAGTCGTGTCGGCCTCGAGCAAGAACTCTTCGGCCATTTTGGTCCCTCAAAAGTGGTCAGTCGACGTTGATGTCAGCAGGAGTATCGATTCTCAGTACCTCTCTTTCCTCTCGGGCTATCTGTTGAGTCAGCACCTCTCATCCAGGATGCCTGCTGGGGGGGACTGTCGTCGTCCACGAGCCAGACCCGGGCTTGGCCTCGATGATGTCGCGGCAGCTAGCCACCATGGGATGCAAGGTCTTGTTCACAACGGCTGCGACTGACTTGTATTTGGATCTAGTTGAAATAAGCCGGGCGCAGGTTTCTCTCTCGGCTGAGTCGGCCAAGTTCAACAAGGTTATCCAGCAGTCCGTGCCAGTTGACCCCGCTCCGGCTGTTCCCAGCTGGCTCCCAGCTGTCGACGGGAGTTCCCTAAATCCTGTCACTGGGCGCCCCAGTGCCTGCCTTGCCTGCCTCTGCCGATTGTGACCCGCGCCGCTGACCCCGCCGCCCGCTCCGGGGTCTCCAACCTGCCAACGCAATTTGACAATCTCCATACAAGCTGCGCTATGATTTCAGCTGAAGCACCTTAACACCTAACACCCCCGGTCGAGCGAACTCTCTCCTCTAAATATTTCCCCTAGGGACCCACTATTAAGGATTCCTACCTAACTACTTATTTAGCTTAATACTATAGGCAAACCTATAGATATAGAACTAAACCTTAGCTTGCTTAAGAGTGTAAGCCTGCTAGAAGCTATTAGTAAAGTCTGCTTTATTACCTTTAACTTATTGCTATTACTTATTACCTCTTTAGCTTAGAAATTAAACTATAAGAAGAAAGTTTCTCTACTAAATAAAGATAATAACTATATCCTCTTAAGCCTTAGAACTTGAGTTCTTAGTTTTAAGCTTAAAATATAAAAGAACTTATTATAATACCAACTTTCTAAAAGAATTAATACTTTCTAATTAATCTCTACTACTTTTAAAGAAGCTACTAGAAAACTACTAACTAAGACTTAGAAAGTTCTAGGCTAGAAAGTTATCTAAGGCTTTCTTAAAACTATAAAATAATAACTACTTAAAGACTCTAAAAAACCTCTTTCTAAAGAGGCCTAGAACTTAAGCCTCTAGATTGCTATAATATAATATAAAGAAGCTTTACTCTCTATATAAATATATACTAAAGCTATAGTAATACTCTTTAGTAAAGCTATCTAGACTCTAGCTATAAAACTTATATACTCTCTTAAAGAAGATATAAAAGTTCTCTTTTAGCTAGATAATATAAGTCTAGCTTAAAGTTATACTTTATTTTATATTAAGAATTTAGTTACTAAAGTTCTAGAAATAAACTTAATATATATTTTTATAATAAAATAAACTATTATAAGCTAGTTAGTACTTACTAAGAACTAAATAATAAGAGACAAACTTCTATCTAGCTAAATAGCTATTCTTAGCTAGATTAGTAGAATCTTAGCTGCTAGAATTATATTTTAATATACTTATATAGTATTTAAGTGCTTATATACTCTCTACTTCTTTAAGAGTACTACTATTAACCTTAAAGATATAATTACCTAAAAGGCTACTACTTAGACTAAATAGACTCTAGTCTTAATAATAACTAACTAATAGTTATATTTCTAGTTTTCTTTAAGAAGCTAGTCTAAAAGAAATAGTACTTATAAAGCGCCTTTAAACTAGCTAGACTAGTTAAGAAGAAGACTCTACTATTTTAATATAAAACTTACTAAGACTTCTATACTTAAAAAAGTTATAAATAGAAACCTTAATATAAAAACTATAGCAGCCTCTTTTATAAAACTAATAGCTATACTTTAAAGACTTAATATATTAACTATCTTAGCCTCTATCTTCTAGATTATAAAGAGTACTTAGCTAGGCTAAAGTAAGTAGATAGAAAGTAGCAGCAGCTTATAAAGGCTTAGAGAGGCAGTGCAAAAGCTATAGAAGTAGAGCTATTATCTAGATATTAAGCCTACTTAGCAAGCGCCTCTATTATAGAGACTTTATCTCTATAGACTAAACTATACTCTTTAATACTAAAGACTCCTGCTCTCTCTGCCCCCCTAGTTATACTAGCTTCTCTAGCTTCTGCTATAAAAATTATACCTACAACTAAAATATCTATCTCTATCTTTAACGGGACGGGAAACTAGGCAGGCGTAAGACAGCCCTAGCGTAGGGCCGGAGTTAGGCTATAGCTAGCTGTAAAGCTAAGAGGTAATTTACGCACAAGACAGAAGTAAGGTGAATCTAACTATATAAGCTGTTGCAGCTAAATACTAGACATTTACGCTAGCAGCTATATAACAGCACAGAACTAGGCTGGCCTACTTCTAAGAGAGCAATAAATAATGTACTGCACTAAGATAGTCTGCGTCCTTAGAGAGCAGGGACAATTAGAGACTAACAGATAGAATAGGAAATTAAGCAGGTATAAAATAGCCCTAGCGTAAGGCTAGAGTTAAGCTATAGCTAGCTATAAAGCTAAGAGGTAATTTATATATAAAACAGAAGTAAAGTAAATTTAACTATACAAGCTATTACAGCTCAATACTAGATATTTATACTAGTAGTTATATATTAGCCTAGAGCTAGACTAGCCTACTCCTAAGATAGTAATAGATAATATACTACATAAAGATAGATTGCATCTCTAAGGAGAGAGAACACCTAGAGGCTAGAGAATATAGCAGGAGAATAGGCAGGAGCAGTACAGCTCTAGCATAGAGCTAGAGGCAAGCTTAATTTTTAGGAGTTATTAGCCCCTCTAGAATACAGCTAGTAAAGCTAGCAATACTTATGTATACACAGAAGGCAGGCAGATTCTAGCCAGCATAGAGCTAGAGCTGCTTTAAAGAGCAAAAACAAAAGTAAGTAGAGTTTTTCTTCTTATTAAAGGGTTTTCTAGGCTTAATATAAGAAGAAGATATACTAGTTATATAGCTTTATAGCTATCTAGAGTATTTAATATATCTCTATCTTTACCTCTAAGTTAGCCTTTAAACTAACTAAGAATACTAACTTTAAGAAATATAAGTAATATACCTTAGAGAAGACCTCTATAAGTTATTAGCTTAAATACTTAGAACTTAGAACTAATAATAAATACTATTCTTAGCTTATTAGCTATAAAGAAAATTAATATAGTTCTTATTTAAGAACTATATACTAACTAGAGGAAAAAATAGTAGTATATTAAAAGCTACTTTCTTTATAAAGCTTATAAACCTCTAGCTCTATAGAATTCTCTTAAAACTTACTCTAAAGTAATTTTTTATATTAAAGCTAATCTCCTCTTAATATAACTTCTCTACTTTAACTCTTAATATTTAATTTAAATTAAAGTACTTAAATATATTTTAGTAAACTTCTACTAAAAACCTTAGAATATAAAAGCGCTAAGAGAACTTTTTATATAGTTACTAATAAGCTATACTATAGTAGCTAGTAACTTTAATACTAGCTATAAAATATAGTAATTTAGTACTTAATAAAACTAAGAAGAGAATATAGTAGACTAAGCTAATGCCTACTTAATAACTCTTCTAAATACTCTAGATATATTTACTTATAACTTAGGAGAAGTCTTAGACTTTATATACTTAAATATTTTTTATTGCTCTCTTAGTATTACTAAGAATATATAATATACTTTAAATTACCTCTCTCTTTTAATTACTATCTCTAGAGAAATTACCTCTAAGTATTCTACTTATATTTATATAATAATAAACTCTAAAGAAGAGAAATAATTTATTAAAATTCTTACTGCTAAGATTAAGTTTCTACTTATAATTATTAAAGATATTAGCAAACTAGACTAGCTAGTAAAGTAAATAACTTATACTTTTATATTTTCTCTTTATTAAGTAGGCAGGATCTCTAGAGGCAAGGGAAATTTTAAGGTTTAGTAGAATAATAACTATAGTTGCTTATACTAAAAGCTACTAGTAAAATAGTATACTTACTTAGATATTACTAAGAAGAGAAAAGCTTTTTAATAAGCTATTTAAGCAGCTAAAAGAGCTTTTTAGTTAAAGAAAATAAACTAGGTAATAACTAATAAAGAGATATTTACTATTACTAAGTAAGCTTATAAAACTATAGCTAACTTCTAACCTCCTAGCTTAGTATTCTAAGGCAAAACCTATAATATACTTAGCAAGAAAGCTAAAGAACTTTAAGCAGTAAAACTCTATAGAGTTAGATCTAGTAATAACTACCTTAGAGGAGGAATCTCTACTATCTCTAAATAGAATATTTCTTTTATACCTCTATCTTACTAGTAGAGGCTAAATATACTGCTTATTTTATAGGCAATACCTCTCTAGGTATTAATAAGATTAGTATTAATATTCTTAAACTAGCTTAGCTAGTTATTAGACTTATAGTTAGACTTATTTATAAATTCTCTCTTAGGCTTAGCTACTATTCTGCCCCCTTCTGCTGTATAGAAGTAGTTATAATAGTTAAGCTAGGCAAGACTATTAGCAGCAGATACTGCCTACTAGAAAAAACACCTACAAAAACAAGAGAAACAACTGCAGCACATAAATTGCCTACAAGGAACGTTTGCATATATTTTATATGCAAGAATTTAATATACTTTATGCCTATATTTCTTTATATATATAAATAAAGTTAAAAGAGGAATGCTAGCTGGAATTTAATAAAAAGACTAATAAGCTATAAAGGCTAATCTACTTTATAGAAGGAAACAGCTATAAGAGTTATTTTAAGCTACTAAAGCTACTATATTTGCTTAATCTAGCAGCCCTACTATAGAATTTACCTATAAATAACTCTCCTTCCTTCTAACTAGATAGAGAGGAAATTAAGCTTCTATAACTACACTCTTTAATATATACTATTATATATAATTTTATACTATATCTAAAGTTACTTTTATTATACCTTAAGAATCTCTATTATTTTATACTTAGTAATTAACTAAATTATATAAGCTCTATCTACTATATCTATATTATATATAAAGAGTCTCTTAATTAGCTAATAGTTATAAGCCTAGTTGCTGCAAGCTTTATGCTACACACTATACTTTATTAGAAATATGCTATTTCTGTTTAAGCTTAGTGCTAAACCTCTAACTAATTAGAATTTAGTATTTAATTAAGCAACCTACTTAGAACCTACTTTAGACCTACTTTTCTAAACTTTATTATTATTCAACGAAATTCGCACTAATTTGCGTCTATTTAACTAAGCTTTTATATAATAAGTGTTAGCA